TTTTTAAAAAACAAAAAAAATAATTTATTATTTAAAAATTATAATTTTTACCTTTAAAAATGATAATAGTACCTATTCTTTTGTAAAATAACATGAATTTAGAATTTTCCAACATATACATTCTGCATAATAATTGCATTTAAGTAAGCTATTTTTTACTATATTTTAAAATTTAAAAGAACTATGTATTTGGATCATTTTTTTCACATTTTACCACTGAAATACCAAAATATTGATTTTAGATCTTAATTCTATATAAAATGAGCTTTAGTTTGATACCAAACTTGATGGGATTTGATAAGTATGAAAAATTACAAAAAATCACTCTGCATTATGAAATTGCCCTAATACTAATATAGGGTCATTCCGTGTCAAATTAACAACAGGTCCCTGCTCGACCATTTCAGATTTTGATGAAACTCCATAAAAATGATCCACTATGTCAGAAACCAACAATTTAAAAAAATTAGCGTTTTGTAGTATCTGAGATATTGACTCCTCAAAAAAGGGGCGTGGTTCTTCAAGCTGCGCAAATGCAGTTTCCTCCAACTTTGGAATCTTATAACTCGGGATTAGTAATTAGCTAATAGGGTCAAACCTGGTATTCTAACTTATTTTCCACCATATTACAAATATGGAATCAGATTAACTGTTATCCCTTCTCTTTTGAAGTTATCTGCACTCAAAATAGCCACTTTGTTTAATGATGCAATTTTTTTGTGATCTTCGAGGTCACCCAGTGAGGCAGCTGACCATCGGGTACATAACGACTTCCGAGCTTGTGTTTATCCATGGAGGATTACATGCTTAGAATAGATCGAGGCCTATGCATGCAATGGTGGTAGAAAGATTTCATGTTCTTGCCTGTATGTACATTTAAGTAGTGTGTGTAATATGTTACGAATGCACCACGTGGGTTGGTTTGTTACACGTTGTATGGTATTTTAGAGCAGAGTGACGGCGGTAGAAGTAGGTTTAATCTCCCAAGGCTAGCCTAGGCCTAGCTTACTAGGCCTAGGCCCAGATCGCAAGTCCTTGATCATCGCAGTGAAAAAATTTTGATTGCCAATCTCTAAAGTGGTCTAAAATCACAATTTTGGGCCATAAAAACTCTTGTGTCAATCGTGAACTAATACAATGGATTTATTTTCTGGTACCCTGACCGAGACTCTTAACAGCTCAATACTAATGATTTTGGTTAAAGACAGAATCAATTGGCTAAAAAAAATTTATTAAACCAATGTCATCTTGCTGGTTTTATTGATTTTGTTTTTCGTAAAATTATATTTCGGACCGTAAAAAAATAAGACCAGTACACTTAGGAAGAGCCAGTATCATTTTTTCCTTACTGGCCCTGCTGGCCACTATGGTTTAGAGGTTAATTTTCAGCCCTGAGTACTGAGAGTAAACCGTACTTCAAACAGATAAAGTAGACATTTTATAGCATTAGATGACACAGTAGCCAAACCTCTCTAATCTAGGAAGTAATTTCTACATACATGACCCCTTTAATTTACAACCTTAACATTTTTCTAATTTGTCTATCAGTAATTTCTACTCTTCAATGTTCATGATCAGAAAGGCTGAGAAAAATAAACTTTTGATATCAAATGCTTGAAATAACTGAACGTCGGACATTTTAATGTTGAAAATCAACTGAAATTCTGAAAATTAAAGTTTTAAATAATAGTTACAGGTACAGAATGTCGAACAGAAAAATATGCACTGAATTTAGCACATTATTACCCTACTTACTCCAGTCCATGTCCCTAAAAATTTTCTTTAAACAAATTAGATATTTAAAAGCCTGGTATATATTTGTAATACATCTGTGAAGTCCCCAAATTCCGAAAACAACAAAAAAATTCAGTCAACAATATGGTTTATTTTTTCAAGTCCTAAAATCCTTTGATTGATTTATTGACTGTATTTGGATCTCATACAAAAAATACAGCAATATAATACAATTATTATTTTATAATTTACAGAAAGATTTTAATTACTTGTGGTACATTCTACGGTAGAAGAGATAGCATTGTAGAATACTATTTATAATCATAATAGTTGGAAAAAAACAGATTTTTAAAAATTATAGTAAAAAATATATATGTGCACTAGTACCAGACATTAAATTTATTTTGATCCCTAAATAATTACTAGTTGGCAGGGTAGGCCAAGTCTAGGATGGCCTAACATGTAACTAGGGAGTACTCCTAGATCTTGCCCTATACCCTGACGGCCCAAGTCTCAGCCTCATCGTAAATAATGTCACTCTCTATTCCAGATCGGTTAGGCCTGGCCCTACAGTCTCTCTAGACCCAGGATTGCCTATACTCTTGTTTTTCTTGATCTGTACTGCACACATTCTCTGACAAATGACTATTAAATAAGCTTGACCTAGGCCTAGTCTCAGGCTGTAAAATAAGGCTTGCTGAAATAAAATAAACTTGAAACATGGGGAAGTATCAACAGCGCCAAAATCTGTCCACGCAGTTCGGAAAACAAGGGCCGATTTCTACACAATTTGTGCAGAAAATTAAGCCTTGGTCTAATTAGTAGTATCATCAATCTATGTACAACAAATTTAAGCTGTAGTTACGATTCTGCGCAACTATTATCCTAACGAACTTCCGCAGAGATAAAATAGGAAGTGGTTAATTAATATTCCGTCATGCCGTAGTGCAATGAGGATAGCGAGAATGAAGTTTGAGGTTGGGTTAACCCACTGACTGACTGATTTTTTGAAATGATTTTGAATTTTTTTTCAGTGTCAGAAATATGGTTAAATATCATTTTTTCTGAAGGAATAATACAATAATGATTGATACCAATTGAAAGATAATTAAAAAATGCTTCTAAATAACTTATTATTTAGTATTGTGAAATTATGAAAAAAAATTTTAAAAATAAATTATTTCCAATTATTGTTTTATTTTATAAATATTTTTTGATAATTTTCAAAATAAATTATTGAATCCTGAGTCAGTAGTCAGAATACAAACACATCTCCACATCAGCACAAATTATTCCTTTACAAAATAAATCTAAATTTGAATTGATTGACAAACAACTTTGGAAGATAAAAATAATATAAAATTTTACATCGTAGGGGGCCTAGACCAAATCCCCTAGGAGCCTCACGGCGTTCAGTCACCCATTCCCCACTACGCACCGTACCGTGAATAGCCTAACCTACCTCGCGAGGTAAAACCCGTAATTCATAATTTTCTGCCTAGCCGTCCAAGGTCGTGCGAAAATTGCGTATTGTGTATTTCAAAAATCCAGATAATTTTAAAAAAAATATGAAAAAATACGAAAAATTACGATGAATATAGACGATTTGGTATCAAAATTTTCCTTATTTTCTCATCTGTCTCAACGTGTAGAGGGCGCAGGTCACCGAAAAACAGAAAGTTGAAAAGTTCAACGGTCATGTTCAGGGTTCGTTTTCATTTTTGTAAACACACAAGATGGCGTCAAGCGTAATTGATAGCACATGCTTTGCATTCAGCCACAAAAAAATCAATTTTACGCGGAAATATGTCAATATAATAACCAAATCTGGTACAGTATGTATTTTGAAAATATATTTATAGTATGCAAGTGTCAGAATAGTTATTTTCTGAAAATAAAGTATGTTTTTAGGTGATTTTATTCACCACCAGTATTGACGCCGACGCCTCGATCAAGGCGATCATGCTACAAAAACAACGATCAAATTACAAATTGCTAATTACCCTAAACTTAGAAATTAATTATAAATGGAAGAAATATTTCCTATAAACGTTTTTTGATATTTTCTCACATATTTTATTAACTTACATGCACACTAAACCGCGCATACGATTTTTAAATAATTATTGTTAATTAATTGCATAATTAATTACTATCGTCCCTGGTGACCTCGGCCCGCATTATTGCGGGCCTAGGGGTCAATCAGTTAAGCCAGTTCCACCAATCAGCACTTTCTTTGGATTTGCGTAAAATCGTCGCATCTATAATAATTGCAGCCAATGGCAATAAAACAAGATTCAGTACTTTATACAGTAACATTGTGGGTCTAGGCTAGACTCCTACCTAGGCTTAGTCTAAGATTTACAAATTGTTAATGCACTCACCAGAATCCTAGGCCTAGGCCTCTAAGGCCTACAGTAGGTAGGCCTAGGCTAGGCCTATAATAAGAATATATCGGTGGCGGATCTAGAGGGGGTAATAGGGTGGCTATCCACCCCCTTTTTGGTAATACTGTGAAAAGAAATGGTCAATCTTCTTGAGTGTGCTTCTTATGTATACATTTTACTTGTAGTAGCTTAACTTCTTTTCAGATGTCATCTAAGAGCATCAAGTTGTCTACTAATTCCAAAAAAATCTAAAATGAGAGGGACTCCCCTTTGCAAAATCGCTCCCAAACTCCTCACCCCCTTTTACTAAATCCTGGATCCACTACTGAATATATATCAAGTCAGGCTTCGGAAAATGCCTATAGGCATATAGGCTATGGTTAGCCTAGGCCTACCGGTGCCGTAGTACTACTATTACTAAGGATTTCCTAAGTCGGGCCTATCTAGCTAGTGAGTGGTGAGGCACGTATGCAGCACTCACTGAGCAGACAGAGAGGCCTGGATAGGCTGCTTCAATGGATATCTGCAGGATTATCGCTGTGTAAAGATCCACACAACCCTCTATATAATTAACAACCTAATACTTCAATGAACATAGGCCTAGACCCTATTTGAATTTCATTAAAGGTACTGTACAAGTATTCAAAAAATTAGCACATTATCGTCAAAGTTATAACTGGGCTGGCAGCCTAGACCATCCAATGACAATATCACAACACCACACACACACACGGGCCATGTTCAAACAATATAAAACAAAAAATGACGGGTCGCGGGCTTCGACATTTATCCTTTTTAAGCCATATACAGTTCTCCACAAACCTAAATTATCCACCGGTCTTTGGTAGCAAATAATTGTAAGTAACCTTGTTAACATACCTGAAGAAAATTTATTTTTCTTTGTAGAATAAGCAAATTATCCAGTATTCCTAATCCTCCAACGAGTCGCCATGTTTTGTATGCTTGTTGATTGATAGCCCTGTCGAGCAGCAGCAGCTAGCTAGGAGGCCTACATGCATGCAGAGAAAATCTGAAAATTTCCCACAATGCACCCAATGACTTTAAAAATCTGAACAACCAGCAAACTTGACTTGAGGTAGTAGAACAGTTGTTTATTTATGACGAAGAAATATTTTAATTAAAGTGTAATTTGAAAATAAAATGTTTCATTCATGTTTTACTTTAAAAAAAAACAGATGTTGTGTAGAACAAGCATTATTAAAATATTATGCTGCCCTTGAATATTAAGTAAATTAGTCTATGCAAATTCTGACCTTGAGAAAGGCACTCGCTCTCTGATCAATATTCAAGGTTGTTGTACTTTCTGATGTGCATGAGTCTGTGCTGGACTTGAATTTGTCGTGATTGCAACCATTTACAACAGTGTTTGTATATATATATTTATTGTGTTTTGAGTGATTTCCGTTGCTGCAAATAATGCTATGGATTCACGTTTGCGTAGACGTTAGCTCTGAAAAACTATAGAGAAAAACACCTGGAATCAGGAAACTAAAATCGCACACGGTCGGTTTGCAGACATCCAGAGAGGGACAGGTTACGTCATACTCAAGTTCAAATGAAATTAATTATGTTCAGTCTTAGGAGTTATAAAATATGGTCGTATATGCCAAGTGCCTGGTGCCAATAATAAATTTTAAAAATAAAATGTAATACTGTACAGGCATCTCTCCAATTAAAGTCCCCTCCAAATAAAGACCACCTCCACCAACCTTTCTCAGTGATCCCAAATTAACATTTATCTTTACTATTCTGTTGCTAAAGACTATGGAAACCCTGTCCAAAAAATTGTCTTTAATTGGAGGGAGACCTGTTTTAATTTGTTTATAGCTAGGCCATTTGGGCTATTTTATTAAAAATTGAAAAACTGAAAATTTTCTCATGTTCATGCATAAACAGATCTTTGGACCTTTTTAGATATGACCTTTTTGGTTGCAAGTCGAAGTAATAATATTACATAATTAATAATAAAGGTAGTCAGCATTTTAGTTAATTTTTAGACGCTGGCCTATTTTTTTGTATTTCACAATTTTGATAAATGGCAATACCATACAAGATAGGCCTACAAGACAATTTGTCAACGTGCACAACTTGGTTCACATGAAATATGGTTTCCAGTTGCTTCAACAGAGATTAAAAATAAAATCTTAAACTACAACACAAAAAAGATACAAAAGACAAGTTTGACCACCCTTGTAATACTTAGGGGCAACATAATAGACCGTCGTTGAATTTGAAGAATTCGAAAATGTGTCACAGCGAACATTTTAGGTTGATAAAAAAAAAGTTAATAGCCTAAATTGTTTATGAGTGTAACCATTTTTTAACGTATCACTGACATCCCCTCTCTTATAACTTTTTCTACCATTGTGCTGTTTCCTCCTCTCAAAAATCTTTGAAATGGATGTGTGGGCATCATTTTTAATGTAATGCTAGTGTAATTATGCATAATACCAATTTCTAGGTGCATACAGTATAGAACATGTTTTACGATATGACTAATTCTTTACAATAGAATAGTCCAATGCGTATTAATCGTCCGTTGTAGGCATTTTGGTCTCAGTGATGTTAATATAACATGGGCATGGTTTGCAATCGTAGATTTGTTCCACCAGCTTGTTCACATTTAAAATAGCCAAATAGGCCTGCTGTTATGGCCACTTCCAAGAGGAGTAGGCTATGCCAAATTTTTAGTTTTGTAAATTTTAGGTTGGAAATTTTCTATAATAAAATAATGTATGTAGTTCGATTTATATCGCCAAAGTCTCAAAGCGCTCGAGGTGTGGAGCTCGTACAAGAACTTGCTTCACCCCTCTAAGGGTCTCTGTGTCTGAGCTACCCGGGAACTGGACCAGATTTCTCGTCTGTCATACAGCAGGCGCGGATCCATATTTACAACTAAATTTTTAAAAATGTCAAATGCATATCAATGTCATGTTCTCACCTATTCTGAAACTGCTGTTCTCCCTCCACCACCCGTTTGAAACATTCTGGATCCGCTCCTAATAAGAATATGACAGTTTTTCCTGAATGTGTGATGACGCCAGTGACGGGGATGGGGACGTCCCCTGCGGGAGCAAGGCGCATGGCCAAAACCCGTTATGAGGCGAGCCATATGGGATCAAGTCCACGGAAGCTTGGACAAGTTAGGGATTCGACCGCGATTTGTCGAAGAGTCTGTAAAAATTATGGGCTTCTTTTAGTCTCCCAACTAATTGTGGAAAAGAGGGCTGACTACGTCATTATCATCGTCAATCATCAACATCATCGCGGTTATCAATGTCATCATCATAATGATCACCATTATTATCATAAACAAGCACCAAAACCGTAGGCCCATTAGAGGGTTTGGTTAAATCGAACCCTTTTTCAAGCAGCAAACCACCAACCACCTCCCACAAACAATGTAAATGACGATGAAATTTAGTCTAAAGGACAATGCTCCGGGGTTTCTTGCTGACACCCCCCCCCCCCACAAGAACACTATTGCATCAGTGCTTCATGGCACGGCACCCCACGCCATAGGTCTCAAATGAATCTCCTTATGAAACCCAGGCCTAATCAAGGCCCCAATGATCTGCTTCTGCTGGATGCATTACCGTACCCTCATTAAATATGGTTCAAAGAAATATAATAAATACAGTAAATCATTCTCATCATCGCTTGTCGTCGTCGTTGCCATTATCATTACCATCTCCTTGTTGTCGTCATCATAATGAGCATCGTCATTATTATCCTCATCCTCGTCATTAATCATCATCATATCATTATCATCACCATTGTGATCAATGGCCATCATCAAACACGAGTCGGATTACTGTAATTTTTATATGGTATTAATGACTTGATTCATAAATCTGTATCTCATTTTACTAATTCCGAAGTTTTTCTTCAAATAGGCCTATGCTTTTTTTTGTGTGTGGTGTCCGAAAAAGCACATCACATTTTTTTTTCTCCGGAGCCTGAGTCTAAGTGCGTTAATTTGTATACTGTACTGTAATTATTTAAACTGGTACAATATGCCGTGAGAGACCTGTTCGTCGTCAACAGCAAGCCGAACGCGTTTCAACAGTTTAGTTTATTGAACGCCTTTCAACCGCTACGGTATTCCCGACCGGCATGATCATGAAATGACACGAACGTTGCTTCATTCACATGCTCGTCAAAAACGACAGTAAATTGAATTGAGAGCTTGTAAATTCAAGTGGCACATTTTCATTTTCAAAATGTCGGTAGAAATCACTTAAACATTCACACAAAAATATATAGGCTAGGCCAGGCTAATTTTAAGTACTTTATCTATCTTTTTGTTTTTTAATGCAGTCCGGGCAACAATGCAAGTCTATTGAATTTACAAATACTACCAGGAAGATTGGAGAAGGTGATGTTCACCAGATTATACAAAAAAGTCTGGCAATAACAATGACATAAAATGTTAATAATGAGTATAGGTCTAATAATAGTAATGGTCCTAAAATAATCAATTGATAGTGATATAAGAATGCTAATAGGGCTCATCTATAATGATGTTTTGATGATGAAAAGACTAGAAGAGAATAAATGACGCCGGTTTCAAATCTCTATGCATTTGATTACCATTCTGAGTAATAGTTCATATAAAGCATTTAAGGTCACGTTAAAAAAAAGTTCAAATTCAAATACACTTAAGTTGGTAATTTCTGTTCATAATTTTACGGTTTACTATCAAGTTACAAATGAAATGCCGACATACGCCGGCCATTTTCATCGCCGGGCAATCTCGCCTTTTTAGTGAATATCACAAAGTATTATTTTTGGTCGTCGTTCTAATAAAAAATATCGGTAACGTAGACATTATGATATGATTATGTTCCGCGCTATGATCATTCTGATTAAGGCTATGTTCTCACACGGCTGCTAACGGTTGCAGGATCTGGTAACATTAGCAGCCGTGCGTCCATACGAGAAAATCCCGATCCGGATACCAAAAATATGATCGAATCACTGGCCAATAAGAAACTGGAAATTGTAAACGCGTACGTGTGATTGGTTGATGATAGAAACGCGCTCAACTTGCAACCGATAGCGCTTGCTAACTGTTAGCGGTATCCGGATACTGCTAACGGTAAGCGCTAACCGATCGGGCGTTCTCACGCAGGCGCTAACAGTTAGCTCCCGATCCGGATACTAGGGCTCTTGTGAGAACAAGGCTAATGTTATCTTGTTCAAGGGCCTACCGCAGTGCGTTACCGGCGCATACTGTATGAGTTTGAACTGTATGAGCGACCCTGTCACAGATGTGGGTGTGGTGGCGATTAGCGGCAGTACATTCGGCTCGGATCCAACCGTCGGAAATGCACATCCCTCGTCGAAGCTGTTATGCTTATTTTCCTTGTATAATAATGTAGTACTGTACTGTATGATCAAAACTCGCATTGGTTGTGATAGTGAATGAGGGCGCTACTGAACAAACTATTTCTAACTAGAAACCTGATAATGATACCTAGGCCCTATCCGAAAACAAAAAATAAATAAATAAATAAATAAAAAACGATAACAAGTTAATTTCTTTTAAATCTTGTTTTGAAGGATGAAGTAATAACTTCAGAAATCAAAACAATTTTTTCACTGATTTACAGATGTTACAAATAAACATCCTGAGAAGAAAGATGAACATTTAAAATTGTGAACACTCTGATAATGGAAGATCTGAAAAGGACATTAAAAGAAAAAGTGAAATAGCCAAAACCAAAATCTGAGAAAATCAGGATATTCTAACAATACTAACCTGAAGGTGAGAAAACAATTACAAGTATGGAGTACTGCATTGTATGCAAGCGAAACCTGGACGCTAAGCAAAGAAGACAAGATGAGAATAGAAGCGTTTGAGAGAAGTATAATAATAATAATAATAATAATAATAATAATAATAATAATAATAATAATAATAACAACAACAACAACAACGTCGACGACGACGACGACATCGACAATATCAACAATAATAACAATAATAAAATAATAATAATAATAATAATAATAATAATAATAATAATAATAATAATAATAAAATTATTATTTTAAAATGTTTCATTTTACAACAGTTAATTCATCATCATAATTTGAGTAAGGAAAAATGTGTGTGACGACTTTACCGTCCAGACGCGTGCACAGGTCT